GGATGCGGATCCGCAGCCGGCGCTCCCGTGGAACCCCTGCGGGGATGGACGCGGGGCTGCAGATCCCATGGGATTCATGGGAACCCGGCAGGGATATGGGGGGCAGGACATGGGCAACGGGGGAAACTGAGGCAGGGGAACGAGAGCCCTCAACAGCATGGGGATCCTCTCTGTGCCCCACACTTGGGGGTCTGGGCGGCAGGAGGAGCTGCAGGGAGTGATGGGGGCACCTTGTCCCCACCCTGCCATGTCCCGTCTCCATGGAAACACCCTCTCATGGTGTTGGACCATCACGTTGGGGCTTGGGAGCGCCCCAAATGGGGTTTAGGGGTCCCCAGGGCCGATGTCCCTTTGTCCCAGCCCCATCCCATCACCTCGCCGGGTGCCACCATCACAAGCAGGGTCACCTCCGCACCCCATCGGAGCCCCGGCTCCTCCGTAATCGCGTTCCCCAGTGTGATGTTAATGAAGCATCCCGGGAGCAGCTGCCGGGATTAAATTAGATCCCGTTAATCCACGGTAATTGCTGCCCGGAGCCGGGAATCCCAGCCCAGATGGGCAGGAAGCGGCATTCCCGCTGTTGACACCGGGAATTACCCTCCCTTCCCTTGCGGCCCCTCCGAGATGAGGGGATGGAGGGACGCCGGGGGAGGGCTGGGGGCCAGGGGTGATGGTGGGACACAGGGGACACGGTGGGATGAGTTTTCCCTACGCCCCATCATTCCCAAGTGGTGCTCCGTGCCTGTGAACTTCGGTGCACAGTTCCCAGAGCATCTGAGTGGTGGCTTCATCCCCTTCCCAAGTGGAGCGTTGTCCAGGTGGGGAATCATGGAGGGGGAGCACCATTGAAACAGAGCATCCTCAGGTGGAGCATCCTCAGGTGGAGCATCCTCAGGTGAAGCATCCTCAGGTGGAGCATCCTCAGGTGAAGCATCCTCAGGTGGAGTGTCATTGAGGTGGAACATCCTCAGGTAGAGCATCCTTAGGTGGAGCATCATTGAGGTAGAGCATCCTTAGATGGAGCATCCTTCGATAGAGCATCATTGAGGTGGAGCATCACTGATGTGGAGCATCATTGAGGTGGAGCATCCTTAGATAGAGCATCCTTAGGTGGAGCATCATTGAAATGGAGCATCCTTAGGTGGAGCATCCTTAGGTGGAGCATCATTGAGGTGGAGCATCCTGAGGTGGAGCATCCTTAGATAGAGCATCCTTAGGTGGAGCATCACTGATGCGGAGCATCCTCAGGTGGAGCATCCTCAGGTAGAGCATCATTGAGGTGGAGCATCACTGATGTGGAGCATCCTTAGGTGGAGCATCTTTAGGTGGAGCATCCTGAGGTGGAGCATCACTGATGTGGAGCATCCTCAGGTGGAGCATCCTCAGGTAGAGCATCCTTAGATAGAGCATCATTGAGGTGGAGCATCACTGATGTGGAGCATCCTCAGGTAGAGCATCCTTAGGTGGAGCATCATTGAGGTGGAGCATCCTTAGAGCATCATTGAGGTGGAGCATCCTTAGATAGAGCATCATTGAGGTGGAGCATCTTTAGATAGAGCATCATTGAGGTGGAGCATCCTTAGGTAGAGCATCCTTAGGTGGAGCATCCTTAGAGCATCATTGAGGTGGAGCATCCTTAGAGCATCATTGAGGCGGAGCATCCTTAGATAGAGCATCCTTAGAGCATCCTTAGGTGGAGCATCCTTAGAGCATCATTGAGGTGGAGCATCCTTAGATAGAGCATCATTGAGGTGGAGCATCCTTAGATAGAGCATCATTGAGGTGGAGCATCCTTAGGTAGAGCATCCTTAGGTGGAGCATCCTTAGAGCATCATTGAGGTGGAGCATCACCATACCCTGGGCTGCATCCCCAGCACACCTCTAGGTGTCATGGGGACGATGCACTCTGTTCCTCCTGATCTGCACTGCTCAGAGCCCCACAGCGAAGAGGGAAACTGAGGCTCGGGATGAGCAGGGACAGGGAAACTGAGGCTCGGGATAATGGGACAGTGCGGGGTGATGGGGACCCCAGAGCTGAGGCTGCTGGAGGGGGTGATGAGCTGCTGGCCGGAGCCACCCGTGCCTGGGAATGGAGATGTGGGGAGGGATGCGGGGCGCTGAGATGATGATGGGGGCACAGGGTGGGATGTGAGGACCCCTGAGGGATGCGAGAGCTAAACAGGGATGGAGGACACCCAGAAGGGATGGAAAGTCCACCTTGGAGACCCCAATGCCACCCGGGATGGGAACGGGGGCTCTCCTGCACCCCAGCCACAATCCCCCCCCCCCCAACTCTGCCCACCCCGATGTCCCCATCCCGCTGTTCCCAGCCCTTGGGCCGGGGCTGGAGCTGGGAATGGGGAAGTGGAACACGGCGTGAGCATGGTCCTGGGGTCGGGGTTGGGGAGGCGGGGGCAGCGCCAGCAGATGCCGAGCCCCACACAATGGATTGAGGCAGCAGCACAATGCTCCCACCATAGCTCCGGGGTCATTCCCATTCCCAGATCCCGGAGCCACCGATGGCGATGGAAAAGGGGGGGGGGAGCCATTCACTCTGTGTGTGTGTGTGTGTGTGTGTCCATCCCTGGGGCACCCACCGGCCCCTTTGTGCGGGTGCTGGGACCTGTTGGAACCATCTGCCAGGGAAGGGATGGGGCCGGGGCCGGACGTGGCAACAGGCAGATTTATTGGCCGCAATCTGTTCCTGCTTCCCCGCAGCCCTGGAGCCGGGAATGGAGCCATGAATCCATGAATGAATTCATCGGGATTCCCGCTAATCCCGGGCTGCCGCCGTTGCCAGCGCTCGGGATGATGGTGAAGGGTCCTGAGGGCTGGTGCCTGCATCCCTGCATCCCTTGGGTGGGTCCCGTGCTGTGATGCTGAGATCCGGGATCAGACACCGGGCAGGGATGGAGGGGAATTGGGAGGGGGGAGAAGGACTTTTGGGGTGTCAGAAGTGTGTCCCCCCCCCCCAGCCTGTGTCCCAGCACCGGTGTCATTGCAGCAGAGCCTGGACAGGGGGGGTGGTGAAGCCCCTGGCACTGTGGGATGGGGGGGACATGGGCCCCATGGAGGGGCCGTCTTGGTGCTGGGTGAGCTGGGAGCCCAGCAGGGTGCTCAGCCGGGGGTTCCCATCCAAAGCTGCTCATCACAGGGTGCTCTTCCAAGGGTGCTGGTGGAGGGATGCCCAACCAGGAGCTCCCATTTAGGGGTCCCCATCAAGGGATGCTCAACTGGGGGGGTACCCACCCAGGGGTGTTCATTTAGGGGGCCCCATCCAGGGTGACCATCTAGGGGTGTCCATCTACAGACGCCCATCCTAAGGTGCTCATCCCAGGGCGCTGGTCCAGGATGCCTATACAGGGGTTCCCATTTAGGGGTCCCCATCAAGGGGTGCCCATCCAGAGGTGCTCATTATGGATGCCCATCCTAAGGTGCTCATCTCAGGGTGCTGGTCCAGGGGTGCCCATCAAGTGCTCACCATGGATGCCCATCCTAAGGTGCTCATCCCAGGGAGCTGGTCCAGGGTGCCCATCAAGGATGCCCGTTTAGGGGACCCCATCAAGGGGTGCCCATCCAAAGGTACTCACCTATGGATGCCCATCCTAAGGTGCTCATCCCAGGGTGCTGGTCCAGAGGTGCCCACCCAGGGGTTCCCATTTGGGGTCCCCATCAAGGGGTGCCCTTCCTAAGGTGCTCATTATGGATGCCCATCCTAAGGTGCTCATCTCAGGGTGCTGGTCCAGGGGTGCCCATCAAGTGCTCACCTATGGATGCCCATCCTAAGGTGCTCATCCCAGGATGCTGGTCCAGGGTGCCTATTCAGGGGTTCCCATTTAGGGGTCCCCATCAAGGGGTGCCCATCCAAAGGTGCTCATTATGGATGCCCATCCTAAGGTGCTCATCCCAGGGTGCTGGTCCAGGGTGCCCATCAAGGATGCCCGTTTAGGGGTCCCCATCAAGGGGTGCCCACTCAGAGGTGCTCACCTATGGATGCCCATCCTAAGGGGCTCATCCCAGGACGCTGGTCCAGGGTGCCCATTCAGGGGTTCCCATTTAGGGGTCCCCATCAAGGGGTGCCCATCCAAAGGTACTCACCTATGGATGCCCATCCTAAGGTGCTCATCCCAGGGTGCTGGTCCAGGGGTGCCCACCCAGGGGTTCCCATTTAGGGTCCCCATCAAGGGGTGCCCATTCAAAGGTACTCACCTATGGATGCCCATCCTAAGGTGCTCATCCCAGGGTGCTGGTCCAGGGTGCCCATCAAGGATGCCCGTTTAGGGGTCCCCATCAAGGGGTGCCCATCCAAAGGTGCTCATCTATGGATGCCCATCCTAAGGTGCTCATCTCAGGGTGCTGGTCCAGGGGTGCCCACCCAGGGGTTCCCATTTAGGGTCCCCATCAAGGGGTTCCCATTTAGGGGTCCCCATCAAGGGGTGCCCATCCAAAGGTGCTCATTATGGATGCCCATCCTAAGGTGCTCATCCCAGGGTGCTGGTCCAGGGTGCCCATCAAGGATGCCCGTTTAGGGGACCCCATCAAGGGGTGCCCGCTCAGAGGTGCTCACCTATGGATGCCAATCCCAAGGTGCTCATCCCAGGGAGCTGGTCCAGGGTGCCCATCAAGGATGCCCGTTTAGGGGACCCCATCAAGGGGTGCCCACTCAGAGGTGCTCACCCATGGATGCCCATCCTAAGCTGCTCATCCCAGGGCACCCCGGCCCCTACATCACCCACCCGAGGATGCTCATCCAGGGACCCCCACCCCGGGTCTCCCCAGGGTTCAGCCCCGGAGACCCCCACCTCGGCCGCTGCCGTCGGGGTCCCCGTGGGGCTGCGGGAGGAGCCGGGCCCGGGGCCACCTCCCCCCGTAGGAGGAGTCACTCGGGACCCGCACCCGGGCAGGAGCCGCCGGCAGCGCCGGGCTCAAAACCGCCCGAGAGCGGAGGCGCTGCCGGTACCGCTCCGGTGCCGCTCCCGGTACCGCTCCGGTACCGCTCCGGGGCTGCAGGCGCGATGCGCCCGGGCAAGTGACGGCGGGGACTCGCTCCGGTGCCCAGGTAAGGGCGGACACGAAGGTGCGGGCACACGAAGGGATGCGCAGACCCCTCCGACGGGGCTCCGCGGCCGCTCGGTGCCTCCCGGTAACCGGGGATGGAGCGGGAGGCTCTGCCCCGATAGCAGCGGGACCCGGACCTGTGTGAGGGGGGGCTGAGACCTCCGAGGAGGGGATACCCGGAGCGCTGGTGGAGGGTGGGATGGAGCCGGACCCTCCCGGGGTCCCGAGGATGCGGCTTCATCCCGATGGGATGCGGGGACCGGGAGGACCCGAGTTGGGGGAGCATCGGGGCTGGGCATTGGTGCCATCCGTGTCACGTCGGGGCTAGAGGTGCTGAAGGTGAAGGAGGTGATGAAGGGGATGGAGGGGATGAAGGTGAAGGAAGTGATGGAGGGGATGGAGGTGATGGAGGGGATGAAGGTGAAGGAAGTGATGAAGGGGATGGAGGGGATGGAGGTGATGAAGGGGATGGAGGTGATGGAGGGGATGGAGGTGATGAAGGGGATGGAGGTGATGAAGAACCTGCCCCAACCCCCGACTTTTGTTCCTCTTACCCCTATAGGGCAGCTCCTCAAGCACAGCCCCATTCCCAGTGATGCATCCTCTGGGATGCAGCCAGCACTCAGCCAGAGCCCACCGGGTCCCCTATAGCTGAGCCACATCCTGCCGTATTCCCAAGCAGGATACAGTGCGGAGGACTCAAATCCTCATTTCCATGGTCTCCGACTGTCCTCTTTTGGGGAATCAAGAAGAAAACCACGGGAGGGTTGAAACCAAATTCCTGGTCCTATAGGAAAGGTGAAGGAATTGAACCCACTTGTTTTGGGACGGGAGCCTGGGACACAAAGGGAAAGCTCCTGGCGCCGGATGGGCTGAGCATTCCCTACCTGAAAAGGAAGTTTTTGGCTACAGTGGGCTTTTTTTCCCCTGCCTTGGTTTTTTTCTGGTTCTTTTTGGTGATGTGGGATGCAGGGAAGAGGAACTGGATCTTTATGGTCCCTTCCAACCCAAACCATTCCATGATTCCATGAAAGATCCAAAATAATGGGGCTGGAAAAGCTTCCCCTTCCTGCTTCCAAAGCTTCCTACTTGGGAAACTCCCAGAGGGACTCCATCAGGCAATTCCCTCTTTGTGCACTTTTCCCACTTTTTTAACACATCAATATTCCGGAGAAAAGGAACAAAAATCCCTGAAAACTCCATTTGGATTTCCAGAAAGAAAACCTTCCGAAGCAACATGGGAATACCGTGCTGTGAAACGATGGGAATGGGGAGGACACTGGGCTGAACCCAGTGATTTTACTTCTGGGGTGGATTCTGGCGCATGGGATGCCCCCAGATGGATGGGATGGGATGGGAGCTGCAGGCAGGGATGCTTGGGGATGGATCCTTGAGGATGGAATGAACGTGCTCCTCAGGCTGCCTCGGGGCTGCTCTCACCATGCAAAGCCCTGGGGATCCCAGATGGAATTTGGACCAGCTCCGTTCATCCCAAAGCTGGTTCCTCAGCACCTTCACCCACCAGCATCCCCCAGACCCCCATTGCTCCATCAGCTGGGGCTCCCTGGTCCTCCGGGATCCACTGGCTGCGAGCAGCAATTAATGCCCTAATCCAGCCTCAAGCCGCATCCCACGTATTAGAAGTGGGATTTTCCACATGGAATGGACAGGGGCCACGGAGCCGGGGCTCGGGCAGCACTTTCAGCAAAGCTGCTTACATGTTAAGCTTTATTAAACGAGCCAGGCACGATGACAGGATCTGGGCGCTCAGCACCATGGATCCAAAGCTGGTTTGTGCGGTGGGACCGCTCCTTACGGTGGAGCAAAGGGAACGTTCAACCACAGGAGCATCTCCAGAGGCTTCCCGTCGCCCTGTTGCGACCCGGAATGGGATGATTGGGGTTGAAGCCATGAAGAGAGGGATTCTTCAGTGGGAATAACCCCAAAATTGAGAGGTTGGAAGCTCTGAGCCCTGCAAAAGAGCTGCTGGGCCCCAGGGGTGGGTTCCCAAAGCATTCACCAGGGGTTACTGTAGATGGATAAAGAGGTAGGTGATGGATGAATAGGTTCTATAGGTACCGTAGGTGGACAGAAAGGAGTTGATGTCTCTGGGAGATGATTCTGATACTGTAGATGGATAAAGAGGTAGATGATGGATAAAGAGGTAGATGATGGATGAATAGGTGCTGTGGGTACCATCAGTGGACAGAAAGGAGTTGATGTCTCTGGGGGATGATTCTGATACTGTAGATGGATAAAGAGGTAGATGATGGATAAAGAGGTAGATGATCAATAAAGAGGTAGATGATGGAGAAAGAGGTGGATGATTAGGATGAATAGGTGCTGTGGGTACCATCAGTGGACAGAAAGGAGTTGATGTCTCTGGGGGATGATTCTGATACTGTAGATGGATAAAGAGGTAGATGATGGATAAAGAGGCAGATGATGGATGAATAGGTGCTGTGGGTACCATCGGTGGACAGAAAGGAGTTGATGCCTCTGGGGGATGATTCTGAGCTCAGCCCCTAATGCCCCCATCACGTTGGGTGACTCTTCCACTGCAATTCCTTACCATCTCCTTGTCCCTCTGTTGCAGAGATCAGAGATGACCAAGACTTATGCCAAGCCCAAAGAGATGGCGGAGCTCGTGAGCACCCAACCCTGGATGGACAAAGCGTTGGGCTCCAAGGACGAGCTGAAGGCAGAGAACAGCAGGCAAGGTCCTTTTGCATTGATGTCTGCCTTGAACGAAGAGCACCACAGCATCGAGGAGGAAGAGGAGGAAGAGGACGATGGGGAAAAGCCCAAGAGGAGAGGACCAAAGAAGAAAAAGATGACCAAGGCGAGGTTGGAGCGGTTCAGAGCCCGGCGGGTGAAGGCCAATGCCCGGGAGCGCACGCGGATGCACGGCCTCAATGATGCTCTTGACAACCTGAGGAGGGTGATGCCCTGTTATTCCAAGACCCAGAAGCTGTCCAAGATCGAGACCCTGAGGCTGGCAAGGAATTACATCTGGGCTCTGTCTGAGGTGCTCGAGACGGGGCAGACCCCCGAAGGGAAGAGCTTTGTGGAGATGCTCTGCAAGGGCTTGTCCCAGCCCACCAGTAACCTGGTGGCCGGGTGCCTGCAGCTGGGACCGCAGACCCTGTTCCTGGAGAAGCACGAGGAGAAGGCCCCGCTGTGTGAATCGGCCGTAGCCAGCCATTCCTTCAGCTACCAGTCCCCAGGGCTCCCAAGCCCACCCTATGGGACCATGGAAACCCATCTGCTGCATTTAAAGCCCCCCACCTTCAAGAGCTTGGTGGATGCTTCCTTTGGAAACCATCCCTCTGACTGCACCACTCCTCCCTATGAGGGTCCCCTCACGCCGCCCTTGAGCATCAGTGGGAACTTCTCCTTGAAGCAAGATGGGTCTCCAGACCTGGATAAATCCTACACCTTCATGGCCCACTACCCCTCGGTCAGCCTGGCTGGAGCACATGGACATGCCTCCCACTTCCAAAGCACGATGCCCCGCTACGAGCTCCCCATAGACATGGGCTACGAGTCCTACCCACACCACGTAGCTGCTCCCCAGCTCAATGCCATCTTCAATGAGTAGCAAAGCAGAGGTAGACCCAAATCCTTGCTGCAGAGAGAAGCTCGGCGGTGTAGCGGGGCTGGTTCGAGAATGGACACAACTGGGAGGTCACCACTATGGGGTGAGAGACTTCTGAGCATCTCTGCAGGACGTGGCTGGGGAAGGCTTGGGGGTCCTCCTGTCCTATCCCGATAGGTGCCACCGTGATGATCTCCTTCTCCCCCCCCCCCAGAGATGCTCATGAAGGTGGCTTCACCCTGCAGGACTTGATGCACTGCAGCACTTGGGATCATCCATTGCCAAGACGTTACAACTCCTTTTCCTCCCTCCTTGGGGCTGTGGGTCTCACATAGGTGGAGACAAGCCCATTCTGCCCCTCGGGATGACCACTTCCCATTCCACGCTCTCTGATGGGGCCATGGCTTTCCCAGTTCAGGGAAGGATCTGGACCACTTGCAGAAGACCAACACGGTTGCTCCTCCTCGAAGCTTTACGTTCGCTGCCACTGCATCATCCATGGCCAGCGTGGTCCAGCAGGCTCAGAGCTTCTCCATGACGGTCCCTTCACCATGCTGAGCCCCAGACCTCGCTTGTGACCTACAACCAGCATGAGATGCTCAGCGCATGGATCTTGAAACCTCTTTAGGGGACTCCTGATCGTTCAGAGCGCAAAGATCCTGGCTGGAAGAGGAGCTCTCACTGAACCCTTGCTCCTGCTCCACATCTTCCTAGGGTTCATAGCGTTCTCCATCCTGATCCGTGTCCCGACCACATCCTGCCAATGGAAACACGTCTGATTTTCCTGGATCATTGATGATTTACCTGCCTGGGGGGGGGGGGGAGTTCCATTTAGTTCCTTCCAATCCACATGGAATAGGGAACACGCAAAGCAGCCTCCTCCTTTCCCAGTTGGCTCCCAGGTGCTTATCCAGCGTTAGCGTTGTGGAGATGTCCCCTTTGCAGTGCTCTTGCTCCAGGGTTATTTATTAGCCATTATTTATTTAATTTATTCTTTCCCTGCCCGTTTTCTAGGGGTGAAACCAAGAATTCCACCGACTTTAAGGTCAAATCCCATCTTTAGGATGGTCCTTGGGTGGATTTGGGAAGCCCGGCAGCTCCCAACTCATCCCTTGTATTCCCAGATGAGCAATAACTTCCAAAGCCTATGCAACTATTTTTGTCTCCAAGAAATCCCAGGCCCCTATTTTTGATGTCCCATTGGCCCAAGCTCCTTGGTTTTGTATGGAGTTGGGAATCTGGAGGTGATTCGAGCTCCGGAATTCCCTGCCCGGCCCCTGGGTCCCCTCCGGGCCCTTCTTCCCTTTTGTACTGAGAGCAAACGTTTATCCTTTTGTAAAGAAAGCAGATTTGGGGGTTTTAGCTCAAATAAAGTCGTGGTTTTGTTTCAAGCAGCATCGCCCTTGGGTTGGTGTCTCCTTGTCTGGGGTCTTCAATGCGGTGCTGGGTGCTGGGTGCTGGTGCTGGGCTGCTTGGGGGCACCAGAGCATTCAACCCCCCCCAATTGTGGGCTCCATCTGGGATCCCCGACCTTGGGGCTGGGCTCTATGGGCTGCTAGTGGCTGGTGCTGGCCATGGGACACAGTGGGAAGGTCTCTGCCTGCCCAGTGCCTGCATGCATGGGATGCGCGTCACGAACACGCGCTCACACGCATGTAAAGGCGCATGCACCCACGCACACACACATACGTGTTGCTGCGGCACACGGACACCACAACACGTGGCAGAGACAGGATGGTTTGGGGAGCAGAATGGGGATGCACCTATGTGGGAATCCCCTACATGGGGATGCACCCACATGGGGTTGCACCTACATGGGGATGCACCCACATAGGGATGCACCTATGTGGGGCTGCACCTATATAGTGATGTATCTACACAGGGATGCTTCTACATGGTGATGCACCCACATGGGGTTGCACCTACATGGGGATGCAACTACATAGGGATGCACCTATGTGGGGATGCACCTATGTGGGGATGCATCTACACAGGGATGCTTCTACATGGGAATGCATCTACATGGGGATGCACCCACATAGGGATGCACCTGTGTGGGGATGCACCTATATAGTGATGCATCTACACAGGGATGCTTCTACATGGGGATGCACCCACATGGGGTTGCACCTACATGGGGATGCACCCACATAGGGATGCACCTATGTGGGGATGCATCTATATAGTGATGCATCTACACAGGGATGCTTCTACATGGGAATGCATCTACATGGGGATGCACCCACATAGGGATGCACCTGTGTGGGGATGCATCTATATAGTGATGCATCTACACAGGGATGCTTCTACATGGGGATGCACCCACATGGGGTTGCACCTACATGGGGATGCACCCACATAGGGATGCACCTATGTGGGGATGCACCTATATAGTGATGCATCTACACAGGGATGCTTCTACATGGGGATGCACCCATATGGGGTTGCACCTACATGGGGATGCACCCACATAGGGATGCACCTATGTGGGGATGCACCTATGTGGGGATGCATCTACATAGGGATGTATCTACATGGGAATGCATCTACACGGGAACGCATCTACATGGGGTTGCACCTAAATGGGGATGTATCTACATGGGGATTCACCTATGTGGGTATGCACCTGCATGGGGATGCAGCTGCATGGGGATTCACCTATATGGGGATGCACCTATGTGGGGATGCACCTATGTGGGGATGCTCCTACATGGGGATGCAGCTACATGGGGATGCAGATGTATGGGGATGCAGATGTACGGGGATGCAGATGTATGGGGATGCACCTACGTGGGGATGCACTTACAAGGGGATGCACCTATATGGGGCTTCACCTCCATGGGGATGAGTCCCATCCTTCCCCACTCTGTTCCATGGGCTGGGGGTTACTGCACCCTATGGAAGACCCTTCCCACCACCTCCTCACAACACCTCCATGCACCCCCTGGGCCTTACACGCATCACACGCAGAGGTGGCTGTGTGGTACCCCCCTCCCCTGCCCACACACCCAGGTCAATGTGACCCCCTAGTGATGCTCGGGGCGCAGTGGGACAAGGACAGCGGCTGCTGCCCGCTGGTGCTGGGGCTCCAGCTGTGTCCTGGCCCTTCTCCTCCTTGGTCGGTGGCCAAGCCCTGCTCGGTGCCAGCTCCCCGGGGCCCATGTGTGTGCCCAACAGCCAGGAATTGGCTCTTCCAGCAGCTCCAGCCCGTGCCAAGAGAGCCAGGAGGCACAGCTGGCGAGGGAATACCCCTGTGTGAGTGCGGCGGGGCCGGCAGCAGCTCCACGTGGACGAAATCCCACATGGATCCGCAGGACACGGAGCCTGGAGCCGCGGGGATGGGCTGAGGACCGGGATGCTCCGTGCACACCGGGATCAGGTTGGAAAAGAGCTTCCAGCTCTGCAAATCCAGGCGTGCCCCAGCAATGCCAAGGGCACCACTGAGCCATGGCACTGAGGGGTCCAGACCAGGGCAAAGAGTGGGATTGGGGGAGAAGGATGAAGTGCTGCAAGTAGCATCCTGCAAACAGAGCCCGTGGTCCTTCCTCACCTGTATATATAGGGCCTGTATATGTGCTGCCCAGGACTGCGATGGGGCAGGTCCATCTTCCACCCCACACCAGCTAGGGAGAGGTTGGGATAGGTCCCATGCCAAGGAGGGAATGGGACTGGGAATGTCTGGATGTTGGGAAGGGCAAGGCTGCTTCTCGTGAGGACCCACATTGAGCTATGGATGGATGAGCAAACGGCCTTCAGGTGGGGTCCGTTATGTAGCCCTAATGAGCAATTAACATGCCCTTGTTAAAACCTGCCCCTTCCCACACCATGAGATTGGAGGATGCTCTTCCTATTGGGAGAAGGGGCCAAGGAAGCTGGAGCTGGAGCTCCTCCATCATCTCCAATGGCTGCGTGAGCCCTGATTTGGGATGCAGAGATGGCTCCAGATGCACCTTGGGCTGTTAAAGCTTTGCTTTAACTCCATCCTGTGGGTCCATGTGGAGGCCAGAGCCGGCAGCAGAGCCAGCCCCATCCCTGGGGAGCTGCCCAAAGCCCAGGATCCCTCTTTTAGGGACAGAAGAAGGAAGAAGCCATTGGGGACCACGCAAGGAGAAGGGCAACCATCAGAGCTGAAAGGGCCAACTGAGAGCAACCTCCTGCATGCTCCTCCCTGTGCAGGTGTGGAAGACCCCAAGAGAGGGATGCTCCATCCCATGCAAAGCATCCCCATGATAGAGGTTTGGGCTTGGTCAACGGCGCTGGCGTCCATGGAAGACCTCGCATGGGGCAAGCCACAGTTGGGAGCAGCTCTTCCCTGTGCGTGGGTCCTGCCTCCAAGCTGTCCTGGTTTCCAGAGCAGGGAGGGGGTGTCCGGAGCTTGGGAATTGCTGAGCCTGGGGAAAGCTTGGATTTAGAGCTGTAATTCTGCTCTTGGGGGTAAGCTCATAACCCCGAGAGCCGCTGAGCTCCGCAACGTGCCCAGCTCGGGAACCCTCCAGCCTTTTCCCACTAAGCCGCAGTGTCCGGCTGTTCATTCCCCACTTAATCGTCTTTGTCCCCTTGGGAACATCAGATTTGGGCAATGAGCTTCCTGGGCCCATAGGAGTGGGGTCCCAATGGGATCAATGTGGTGGCACCGTGCTTGATGCGCCAGGATGCAGCTTGTCTGCAGCAGGGCTTAAACTGGGCTTGGCCAAAGCCCTTGGGGCAACCAAGCCATCACCTGCACGTCTGCACCTTCAGGATCAGCCTCTTCTTTCCATGATTCCAAACTCCTGGACACGGATGCGTGAGCGGGTAACTCCTATGGATGGGGCATCCCCATCCCTGCAGCATCCCGCATCTTCCAGTGCATCCAACCAGCATGCCACCAAACAATGCTGCAGCACAGGGCATGGATCCTAAAGGCGTGCAGGACCATGGGCTCCGTTCGGAGGATGCCACCCGCAGCCCTTCCTCCTTTGTCCCCCAATCCCACTCTTTGTCCTGCTCTGGAAGCCTCAAGGATCACGTTTGGCTCGTGCGGGATGCTCCCGTGACGTCCCTTTGGATGGATTCTGGTGCTCCAGCAGGAAGGGATTGGGAAATCCCGGGCCAACAGCAGAGCCTGTGGGGATGGAGCTGCTCATCCTGGAGCGATGGGCAGGGGCAGGCACCGGGAACACCATCACCCCCTTCCCTGGGAGACACGGGAGAGGGCGGCAGTGATTGAGCACCCCAGCCCCACACACACACAGAGCTCGGGAGGGGGGGTGTGTATAGGGGGTGTATAGGGGGGGATTTATCTCTCCTAATACAAGTTCAGCTTAATCCCCAGCAGATAAACCAACAGCGGGGAGATTTGGAGCTATTGACGGAGCCTTGCTGCCGGGGTGAGATTAGAGCTGGGCTTAACGGCGCGGCCGGAGGGCTCCAGGGTGCTTTAATCGGAATTTGAACAGGAATAATCCCATCTTTAAACTCATCCCGTGGCCAATCCTTTCCCCCCCCCCCCCCGGCCCTAAGAAAGAGGAGGAAGAGCTCCTCCCAGGGTGGTTTCCAGCCCAAATGGTCCAGGAGATGGGAGTCAAGGGCTGGATTGGGCCGTGCGCCCATGGGATGCTCAAGGCAGCAGCGGTGCTGTGGGTACCTGGATGATGGGGGGCACTGGGACGTCACCGAGAGGCAGGGATGGGCACTGGAAAGGGCACTGTGGGGCCAGGAGCAGCCCAGCCCTGAGGACCGGCCCCACTTAGGAGCAATTCCGTCCCCAAAAGGGGGATCCAGCTTGGAACAGGCTTCCCAAGGGGAGTGATGGAGTCAGCATCCCTGGAAGGGGTCCCAAAGCGTGTAGCTGAGGCCCTCAGGGCCATGGGATCCCAAGGGCAGCACTGGGATGTGGGCAGGATGGAGCCCAGCACTGGGTTGTGGGCAGGATGGAGCCCAACAGCAGCACTGGGCTGTGGGCAGGATGGAGCCCAATGGCAGCACTGGGCTGTGAGCAGGATGGAGCCCAGCACTTGGCTGTGGGCAGGATGGAGCCCAACAGCAGCACTGGGATGTGGGCAGGATGGAGCCCAGCACTGGGCTGTGGGCAGGATGGAGCCCAGCACTGGGCTGTGGGCAGGATGGAGCCCGACAGCAGCACTGGGCTGTGGGCAGGATGGAGCCCAGCACTGAGCTGTGGGCAGGATGGAGCCCAGCACCGGGCTGTGGACAGGATGGAGCCCAGCACCGGGCTGTGGGCAGGATGGAGCCCAGCACTGAGCTGTGGGCAGGATGGAGCCCAGCACCGCGCTGTGGGCAGGATGGAGCCCAGCACCGGGCTGTGGGCAGGATGGAGCCCAGCACTGAGCTGTGGGCAGGATGGAGCCCAGCACCGCGCTGTGGGCAGGATGGAGCCCAACAGCAGCAC